AGCGCTTCCTACACGTACCATACTCCCTGTAGCAACGGTAGGCAGCAGTCAAGCGCTCCCCATGCTTGACCTCAGTGCTCCTCTAGCAATGCTGATGGAACCCAAGGGTGGGATTCATCTCACTCAACAGCGATTCAAACATCTACATTTAGCTCGTTGTTTTAAACCCCTTCACAGTCAGTGCAGAAGGAAGAGCAGTGTGTGGATATCATGACTCCTGTAGATACTCCTGTTGGCTAGTTGATCCCTAGAGATGCCCATCGCCTTTCCATCCGCAAGTAAGGGATCCAGAGAGCTCGTGCAGGTGCAGACATCTGCGCTGCAGACATCTGAAGGCAAGGGACATAAATCTCACCCACAAACCTCGTGCTAATTTAGAGGAGGCTGCGTCCCACCTGCGCCACAGCAGCTCTGCAAAAGGTCTTCCTCTTGTCTTTCAAGACAATGCCATTCTTCTGATAGATTTGCCTTTGAAAGTGGGAGCTCTCTCAAGTATTGGTCTGTGATACAATGAATTTTTGCTGTTACAGATCATCCCACCATACTGCTTGCCAAGGACCTGCATCAGATTTCGGAGAAGTTTATGAATCAGCTCCTTTACTTCTCTTTGTTCGTAGTTCTTAATATGAAACTAGTCTGACGAAAGAGGAGAGCAAAGAGGACAGATGGCCAGGGTGAAAGGCAGATGAAGATAGCTAGCTTATTTGTGTGTAATACATACCAGAAGAAACTTCCTGGTGATTCAGAAATGCCCAGCTGTGCAGAGAAAGAGTTTATATAATCAATCTATAATCTTCATATATCATATCTGTATTAACTTATTTCCTCATTTTAGTTATGCTCCATCACTGGTTCAAAACTTTACATTTTAGGGACACAGACTTCCCTCCCCATCCCTGTCTGGTTTCTTTGACCATTGCCTAAAACATGAGTGCTGCTTCCAACCAGATCTGAGTCACCACCCTAAAAAACCAAAACCAAGAAATTAATTCAGAGCAAACCATACCTTAAAAAAGTCTTCTTTCAAGATAGTTTTCTCTCAAATATTACCTATATTGCACTCTAAAACCTAATAATAATTTTAATAATCTGACCGTGGTTTGTTTTTTTTCTCCTGATATTGTAACTGCTTTACAAACATGTTGCCATTTTGTCTTTCTCATTGTACTGGGGCTTGCTGGCTAAGCCACCTCAAAGAGGAAGAAACCCTGCAAGCAAACATGCAATGGATAAGTTACTGAGGGTACAGACATTATTACTTAAAGAACTAATGTTTCTCTCCATGTCACTGAATAACCTATGTATGACTTCAAGATGTTAAAAACTGGAAAATTCTTGTAATGATTAGTTCCATGTCTCAAAACACAGGAACACATAGAAGGGTCCAGCAAGCAAGAGACCAGTGAATTACTATGAGTGATACATGGACTGCTGTTCTCTGAATGCTGGCAAGTGACTGAAAACATCCAGTATTTTGGTTATTGTGGAATTAGGATCCCTGCCATTTTTCCCACAGAAAGCTTGCTTTTGGGAGGCAGAAATGTTTCCTGGGCTAAAAGGACAAGACAGAGAGAGCAGGCATAGGAGTCAACTGAGCCCAAACTTTTTCTGTGAAGAGTCTTCCTGCCATGAAGTAGGAATAACTCACATCAGCGCGAGGGACAAATGCAGGAGGACTTCAACATCTTTTCATTTATGCAGATGAACATCTGTCTAACATTCGTACAAATGGCTCTGTCTAGAAAAATACAGTAGATGCCTGTGTGATGGGCAGGACACAGGGAAATACTGCCTGTTGAGGAACTGCCTTTTTGTTCACAGATTGTCTATGGCTGCTTGTGGCTACGATGTCTGAGGGGGTCTAGCTGCTGGTGACCAGAGCGGGCACTCTGAACTGGACAGGAGCAGAAGCTGATGCGAGGCCATGAGCTAACCGGTGCACCACCTGCACACAAGGAACGGTCCTCTTTGCCATTTGCAGCCTGACATTTGCTTGCAGCAGCAGCTATTCCAGAGAACTTGAAGCCTCTTATTCTCAAATGCCAAGTTGAGGAAATAAAAATTAACACAGAACATGTAGCAGACCCCAGCAGTGAGATGGGGAGCCGGTACTGTAATGTGAATCTCTTCGCTCCTGCCGTGGACAGCACAGATACTTGTGGAAAGAAGATATCTTTGGCTCCCCTACAGAGATCGAGAGCTGAGATTAATGGCAACTGTGAGGGCTGCCTTCCTCTTCATGCGATGCATGCTTTAAAGCTGTGGCCTCCTGCCATCTTGAAACATAATCTTGCGGTATTGTCTTCATTCAGGCCCCTCATCAGCAATGTGAAAAGAGAAAAGAAGCTGGTGGCAGGATTAGAGGACAGGTTGAAATATTCTGGGCAGCATATGCTGTAAGTCACATTATACAAAGAGTATTACTGGACTGCTCATTGGCTTTCCCTTCTGGAAGCACTGCTGCTTGTAAAAAGGAAAACCCAGTGAAAAGTGTTTATAACGCATCAGACCACAGCATGTGACACATTGTGAGCACACTGACAAGCACTGAAAATATTTTTCAGGCCTTTCTGCCCTGCTCCTAGGAGATCTTTTTGTGCTTATTGGGGCTATGCAAGATGCATGGGAAAACAGGAGAAAGAGAGGTGAGAATAATAATTCAGAAGGGTATTAATGAACATTCCAAATTACTGTCATCAGATGCCCCATCTCAACCTTAAAACTAACTGAGTAGTCTTGAAAGTCTGTTTGAGACCCTCGTTGCTTTAGAAGTGAGAAACCACCTTTTCTTGTCCAGTGGCAAATTTATTCGTGGCAAAACCCCATTTGTTTTTGTTCTTAGACTAACAATGTTCTTAACTGAAACAGATTATTTTCCTAACCTGGCCATAATGTATTTACAGAGAGCAGTCATATTCTCTCTGAGACTTCATTTTATTTCACTAAATAAGCCAAGCTCCTTCAGTCTCCCTTCTTGTCCCCATTCTCCTGGCCACCTTTCCAATTTTTTGCTGCACTGGTTCCAGTTTGCAGTCGCCTTTCTTGACCATGACCAGACCATATTTCTTGTACTTTTTTTTTTTTCTGAAAAGACCCTCCTCTTTGTCCCATATACATGAAGGAAAACAAACTAAAGTGAATTTCTCTAAAAGCTACTTGGGAAGTTCTAAATGTTCAGAGTCAATCTTTCTTAGAAACCCTCGGCTCTACAAGATTTCCACAACTGAAACGTATCATTCTGAAGTATAGGGAACATTAAAAATTTACAAGGGCAACTGTTTTTCCTTTAAAGTGTCAAGCTCAGTCTTGGTGGCATGTCCTAAAAAATTTTCAGCTTTCATCAAACTGCCTTCAAATGCAAGTTATTATTGATCTGGTTCCTGCCACTATCCCCGTGGTCAGACATTTTTCTTGTCATGTAAGAAACCATTTTCCTCTTTTGGATCAAAAAGCAGTAAGTACATGGTCTTGTCTACAACTTGGAATACTTCAACAAGTTTTCACAGTTTTCTTTTTGACCCGTTGGACACAGACCATCACTTAGCCATTTTATTGCAAACATCTCCCTAAGTAGCAGCAACACACATAACTATGCCTTGCATCAAGTCCTTTTCTTCTGACAAAAAAGGTAAAAAGCTGCCAAAAGCTTCATATTTTGCCATATGGAGGGAAAAGAATTTCTTCTCAGGAGCTGCGGGAGTTAGAGAGAAGATGTACAAAGAAAGTTCATCTACACTATCATGCAAAAGTGCAGCAAGGTATCTCTAAATGGAATCATCATTCTACAAGGGATCTCCAAGTTTCCAAAAAGATACATATTACTGAATTAAGTTATTCTTTGAACTATTGTCTTTCCTTCAATTCAGGGATTTAGATATGTTGAATTCTCATCTTTCTAAATCAAACACTTCCTCCCCCTACAATTACAAATTGTAATTTCAGATTACAGAAAGTGCAGGGTTCTCATTCTAACGCATGTGTGAGTTTCCCAGTCACCAACAGAGGTGTGCTGGCTCACACCTCTTTCCCTTCCCCTGGGGAATTGCTGTGGATGAATCAGCTCCCCCTTTCACCTCAGCTCTTCCATTCTTTAAAGTGGGGTAATTACTTCCCTCGCAAAAGCATGCAGTAAATTCAGATCTAATCATGGCTTTGAGCTGGCATAAGCTTAAAAAGATACAAAATGCTAACAGAAACTCCATTTAGTCATTGCAATTTTGAGCAAAGAGAAAGGCATCAATTAATTTTCAAAGGGCAAGAACAGTACTGCTGTAAGCAAGCTGCACACTACAATTGTACTGAATCACCTTCTCTTCATACATGTCTCACCCAAGTAAATTTGGGTGGCAACTAACCTGAGTCACATCTAAAACAAAAAGCAAGAACTGATAGCTTCTGTGCCATACCTGCAAAATAATAACTTCTCCATTGGAAGGCTATAATTATCTCTGATACCAAAGCAACTTTATACTGTGCTAAAACCTTGCTAGTATTTCCTCCATAAATTAACAAACTCTGACACAAACAGTACTTAAGCATCACCACAGGGATATAGCAAAAACACAGATAAAAGCTAAAGAGCAAGAAAGGAAATTTGAATGGAATTACCTTATTGTGCTAACACAGTCTGACCCAATATTTTAAGAGGTCATCCAACAACCTCATTTGTTTGCAGAACAAAGCAAGGTCAGTCAGATTTTGCTCTGTTTGACTCAAAGATTTCTCAATACTTGTAAATTCTCCATATAACCTGATACAAAAATTAGAGGATATAATTTTAATTATGCTTGTGTAAGTATGAAAGATTACTGTTGATTTAGAAGGAGTTACAACAACATGCAAAGTATACATCTATATTGGAATAAGAAATTAAATGCAATAAAACCTGTATCTGATTTTTTTTTTATTTTTTTTTTTTACAAGGAATGTTTTCAGTATCTGTCTAAGTAAGCTTTGGAGTTGAAACACTAATCCAAAAGCAGTGCTTTGCACAGGTCAGATTATTCTTCCTTGCCAAACAGATCATCCAGAAAAGGTAAGTATTTGATCCCTTTCACAGGAAGGGATGGTGGTTGTCTGCCTCGGTCATCTTCATTCTGAAATTAGTAACCCAGAGAATATCTTAGAATATAATATTGAAAACAAGAATAATTAAAAGCTGGTCAAGATAAGATTAAATGAGCTGCTTCATTTCACAAATATGTGAAAAAGTGGACATTTATACAGCACATCCTCTTAAAAGATTACTACATTCACATTTTTATCAATCTTGCACAATATTTTATTTTAAATGTTTTCTATCATTAGCCTTTTTGCAGATATTTTCAATTTAAATGATGCTATATTCTCTTCATTAAGATGATCATACTTGAAAGTGTTGCAAGTCAGCTATGTCTAAACACCAAAAATCATACAAAATAATGAGATAGAAAGAAGAAAATAGTCAGCTAAACAAGCACAACTCTGTTGCTGAAATCTATCTGTCAAATACAGGTACTGTAGCCCCAAAATATTGCTGTTAATTCATGGTAAGTCATGAACAGAATGACAATTGGATTCTAAAGTTGAACAAGATTTTGATCCCTTCCTTTCTCTGATTTTTTCCATTTCATATTGATCTCTTCATTAAAATATTCTTGTACTGTACCGAGGATAACCTAGGTATTGCAGCTAACAAAATAATAAAGTCAATAAAACTGAATAAACTATACTGGCACCAACTGGCACTGTTCATTAAAAACCGTGTTATATGTCAGCCTGACAGTTACAGCAAGGATTTGGAGCTGATGAGGAACTGATTATCCCAGCATGATGATGACTGATTGTAATTTCCATTGATGCTCTTTCTTCCTTTTTGATTTCAGCTGTAACCTTCCTCCCATAACTCTACTTACGATCTCAACTGGGGCATTAAGGCATCAGCCACTCCCAGAAAGCCCATCCACTGGCTGTCCTCCAAGCAAAGATAATGGCTTCTTCATATCCAAACAAAACCTCATCTCTTATGCTGATCAGAACATATGTTTCACTACAAATGTCCACTTCACCCTCCTGCTTGTTTCACAAGCACCTTTTCCTCCACACCTTCACCTTGTGAAGGCTGCCTCTTGGTTCCACCATTACTTGCACCCCACCTTTACCCCGCAGGAGCCACCTCCTTCCTTCACCTGCCATAAATCAGGTCATGTTCAATGGCTAGATAAGCCATCCTGTGAGGGGAAAAAAATGGTCAAACATTCAACAGCAAGTGTATCTGTGCCTCTGCTTATTTCACCCTTGTTTTTCAGCACAGAGCTTAACACTATCTTCAAGGCAAAAATCCTCCGGGCACAGGCTCTGACCTTCTTTTTTTTCTGTGGTAGAGGCTCACAAGGCCCCTTATCCTGATACAATCTCCTGAAAGCAGTCACTGTTTAAATACTGAGTTATAACTTAAGCAGAGAATTTTTCTGTAACAACAAAGAATACCCACTGAACTAAACCTAATGCACACTTCGAACCACAGGACTGCTCCATAAAACACATGGAAGAGCTTTGATTTTATCTGCACAAGATGGAAAAAATCTTCTCCATGACAAAGTGAAAAATAAACCATCATGGAAAGCAGAGCAAACCAGCAGCACTGGGCCCTCATTAGAAATCACTGACAGTTTGAGATGCCAGAGAAGAGCTGGTAAGACAAGTAAGAGAGAGGAGTCAGGTTAATAGCACAGTACTTGAGGAATATTGGTTCAAACTATGTCACTGTTGAACTCGAATTTAAAGGAATGTTATGTTTCTAAATGGTCTGAATACAATCAAACACACTCTGTACGAGCATAGCAACACATTGGCTAGGCCAGAATAGCAAAACTATGTGTTGGCAGAAGGGCTTGGGTTTTGCCTGTTACTAAGTTTTTAAAAAACCAGCATAATTGCCTTATGCACTACCTATTTTAAAATATTCCATTCAGTACAAGATGGCAAGAGCAGATTAATCTCTGCAGTTTGTTGATACCGCATTTTTATTTACCCTAAGTAGCAGGCTGGTGGAGATATACAAAAGTGATCCATCAATCCTGCTCTTGCCGTACACCTACCAGTGATGTGGTGTATTATGTACAAGTTTCTATGCAGTTATAAAAAATACATAGCTATTTTCTGCAATGTCAGTGGAGTTTAAAGTATTTCCTGACTATCTCAGCAAGTGAACAGATTGTTTGACATGTAACAATGATATTTGTGGGTGAAGTGGTATTCACACCCATTGTTCATGGACAAATACACCTGTTTCCCCTTCTCTTATTTTTTTCTTCTAGAAAAATGTCGCAGAGATGTGACACCTATTAGGCATGGGGGTGTTACAGGGCTCCTTGTCCCTGTTTGATTTCTCTACTTCATTCTAAACCTCCCAGAAAAAATTAATTACTTGAAGAAAACAGGCACAAATATACAAAGCTGAAAACTGTCGTGGTCCCCATTGGATAACGTGCTCATGTTAAAGTTTCACTGTTCTTTTGCTCAGATACACTGGTTTTACCTTGAGAGGAACTTTTATTGTCTGGAATGCAGGGATTCGATTCTCTCTCCAGTTCAGCCCATTCACAAACTTTTTATAGTCCACTTGCTTATGGTCATCTTCAAACCTAAGCAGGATATCCATAAGATGACTCAGCGTTAAAGGAAATTTTTCACAAAGATGTATCATGTTATCTACAACATACTAATACATTACCTTTTAGATAATTTTTTACTCCCTTATTACCAGACACTGGCAGGAGTTCAGAAAAACACTACTGAACTGTCAGGACTTCTATATCATACACTCTATACCATATACTTACAACTTATTATTGCCTCTCATAGTAGAATTCAACTTCTTTAAGGTTTATTACATTTCAACTAATTTTATTTTACTTTTGAAGTACTGCACAATCTTTTCCAACACTGGGATCTAACAATTGGTGACAAACATAGAGTTGGGATGATCAGTGTATGATTCTTTTGTGTAGAAAAGAAACAGGCAGAATCATAGAATCATAGAATCATGTAAGTTGGAAAAGAACTTTGTGCAAAAGATCATTGTGTGCAACCATAAACCTCACACTGCCAAGGCCACTGATAAACCATATCCCTAAGCACCACATCTACATGTCTTTTCACTATGTCCAGGGATGGTGACTCAACCACTTCCCTGGGCAGCCTGTTCCAATACTTGATAATTGTTTTGGTGAAGAAATTTTTCCTAATATCCAATCTAAACCTCCCTTGGTGCAACTTGAGGCCACTTCCTCTTGTCCTATTGCTTGTTACTTGGGAGAAGAGACGGACACCCAGCTGGCTACAACGAGACAGTTGTAGAGAGCAATAAGGTCTCCCCTCAGCCTACTTTTCTCCAGGTTAAACACCCCCAGTTCCCTCAGCTGCTCCTCATAAGACTTATGCTCTAGACCCTTCACCAGCTTGGTCAATAGAATGACAGCTTGACAGGCAGAATGATACAAGAGAGCTGAGCTATAACACAACTGACCTGCTTTATCTGGCTTCTACAATCATTTCCTGAAAATAAGCAATCCTTCAAAAATGCTATTTGCACACACCTTGGGATCAATTTACAATTGACGAACACACAGCTCTCTAACCTATCAAATAATAGCCAGATTTAAAAATCACAACCCTTGCCACTTGGTAGTCGTTTTATGGCATTCTTCTTTATTTCTATGGAATAAATACATATTTGTGTCTGTTATGAGGGTGCCCTAACTGCATGAAGATATATATGCTGCCAGCCAAGGTTTACAGGTACATGTGGAACATGCTATCTCCCTCCCTCAAATTTCTAAAATCATTACCTTGCACTAATAAACCTCATGGAAGCAGATTTGTAAGCCACGTCATCCTTCTGCCATTGATTTGGATGAAGCAGCTTCAGAAAAAAAGTCCTCAATTCAGTTAAACACTTAAGTGATTAAGGCATTTGGGAAAGACTGTTATTTCAGTGGGACTAGTCAAATGCTTGAAAGATATCTGCAAGCTGAAGCTACCGTGCAAATTGTTTCTGAAATGAACAGCTTAAGTGCTCTGCTATAAATACTGTACTAGCAGCTTCTGTGAATGACATCTGTCTCACCTAACACTACCGACATAGAAAAAGGGACCTGGTTTAGGCATATAAGTACACCCTAAAGTGGCTGTGCTTCACTGGGGTCCATGGAGAGGCATATAAAACTAGCAAGACTCCATACCTATTCTTTGGTGGGAAACATCAGGTTAAACAATTCTGTCCTGTAATCTGGTGAGACAAATACTACTGCACAGGAGCAAGATTGTCTCCAGGAAACAAGTATTTTAGAAAATAATTTTACTTTGTTCTTAAAGAAATAGCACTGAACAAAACAGGGGCTTCAAAACCCTTCAACCACTGCAGAAGGTCAAAATTGAGCATGAAGGTACTTTAAGGGAGAATTTACAACACAAACTGGGAAAACAATACCGGAGAAGAGGAAAAATAAATCTAGTGACAAAAATAAACTGCAATAAACTGCAACTCATCCTCTTCTCCATCTCCCCCCACACCTTTCATTTAATAGTCAGCAGGAGAGATAATAATAAAATATACTGAGAGTCATAAACAGAGATGCTAGCGATAAACTGGAATGTTAAGTACAGTGAGTTATGCTGAAGATGAAAGCAAAGTCAGAAAAGAATGCTACTGTTACTAGTATTAAAATGGAGCCTGAAACATTGCCATGACCCTCCTATGACAGCTTTCTGCTTTATAATAGCTCACATGCAAGTTAGTTAGCATTTTTATGAAATCTTACTTTTGGGGAATATATCCAATATACAAGAAAACTATCATTCCCACTTCTAGGTGGTTCTTGTTTGTTTCAGGTTTTTTGCAGGTGGCCATTGGGAAAAGAAAGGACTTCTGCATTAGAAGTAACAAAACAATAAAGAAGCATATAGCTCTGGGAAAAAAACCTATGGCACCCAGATTTTGAATTTCAGAACTATCATGACTTTTTTTTTTTTAACTATATATGTATTTATCTTTTGCTTGTTGTGAAAAGTTTAAAATACTAAGTCTATTGCCAAGATGCAGAGCTGTATAAGCAGGAATTTTAAATAAAGAACAAGTGAAGGTATCTAACTACTTAAACTTTACATTGAGGCAACGAAGTCAGAGAAAGCACTGCTTCTGCTTTCAGCAAGCATTAACAAGGAGAAAAGTCCTTTGATGTGACAACACTAGCAAACTGAGATGACAACATGGGCATGAAGTTAACTATAACCAAAGATTTTAACATGGGCAGAGGAAATGGGATTCCTAAATCCTGTATTTAAACAGCTACAGAAAGCAGCTTAAAATATTACTCTAGAATAATCCAGAAAGAAAGAAAAAAATCTGCTCTTTCGATCTCTTTCCTGCTGTGACTTATTGTATCAATCTACTAAATGCATATACTTGCAATTTGGCACAGAGTATCCAGATGGACTGAGGAGATGTTATCAATTTGTGCATTATTAGGAGAGAGATGTCATCCATTTCAGTGTCTGGAGTTAATATGACTGACTGACAGTGCTCTTCAGGAAAGGAAATTAGATTTGTCTTATCAAGAAGATGCAACAAAGATCTCTTGAAACCATGCTTCTCTTCAGTTTTGCCCTATGACTTCACCAACGCATGTGATTTTAGAGTATGAAAGTCACTCCCCCATCCCTATCATAGTTTGCAGAGCTTTTTTTTTCTTTGACATTACAGAAATAATTGCACATTTCTGCTTCTAAAAATATATTCATAATGAAATACTCCAGATATGTGAAAAATCTGGTTAAATCTGAGGATGCTTTGGTGAATAAAGGCTACATACAATTATTTTTAGTTTCCCATCAAGAAATCTGTAACCCAAACATTTATGTCAAAAAATGTACATGCAGAAGTTTTTTTAATTCATTAGTTTTGAATAACATTTATTAAGAAGATAATCTGATAATAATAGGGGAGAAGATCATGCTGCTTTAACCTTAGAGAAAATGTTGGGATTCTTCAGCTTGTTTGATAGTCTCTGTGTAACACAGGTATATGCCTAAATTGTCATAAACTGCTCTTATGAAAAGATTTAAAACAGCAAGCATGGACAAGTCTATGCAGCTGATCAATATGCATTAAGTAATGGCTACCATCTTCTGTATAGATTTATTCACGTCTTCAACAACTATAAATTGAACCATCAGCTCCTCAGCATACTGAATAACAGAAAGAATTTCTTGTAAGAGATCCAAATATAAAGTCTTTTCATCACAAATGGCATAGGCAGTCTCAGGCAGCAAAGGTAACAAGCAGAACAGAGAGTGCAGGAGAACAATTTTGTGACTATTTCCAATCTCACTCCTGCTATCAGGACACTTGCTGTAGCAGGAAAAGAGGGTTTCCTTCTGGAAAGAAATAGGTCACCCCTAAAAAAAAAAAAAAATTACAGGTAGGCAACTAGGTAAGAAATTATTACCCAGCCACAAACCATGGAAAAGCTGAGCAGGCCTGGCCTGCCCTATCAGTGACTTAAGAACTGGGATGACCACGTAGGAGGCCCACCGCCATCAGGCACTGCTACCTGAGACACTAGGGATTAACTTTTTCAAAACCACAAGACTCCCCCAGAGTCCAAGAGACTGGTACTGTGGAGAGGTGAACTACACAGACACTTTTTACAGAAATTAAAAGACATTTTAAAAAATAGGAGCATACACTTAACAACTAAACTAATGTGCAACAATCAACATGTAATACTTGTAAACTTGTCATCTGTTTTTTCTTCCCTCCATTTTTTCTTTCCTTATCTGCCAGCTGTTTATATACCCTCAGGGGAAGGACTGCGTCTTTTCAAGTCCTTGTTAGCATACATTTAGCATTGCAGTAAATAAAAATAACAGAACAAACCCTAAATTCATTACTTAAGCACTTTAGCAACATTTATTTATTAAACAAACTGTAATTGTTCATTATGCCTGCATAAATTTAAAGAAATGCTTATAATGACTACTGTGGTTTTCTGGCAGAAACAATTGTTTACCATCTGCATTGCTTAATACATTGTGATTAAAAGTCTGTATTGCACTATGATTAAAAAACTAAGTGAGAACATGCTGATGGAGAAAGAAAATACTTTTTAATAAGCCAGCTCAGGTAAAATGGAAAAATGGACACACTGTTGGGTATCTAACTCCTACTATTCCACCATCCCACAATTAAATATATAAATTTACTCTAGACAGACAATTTGAAAGGGTTTTATGAAACCTCACAGTATTTATGCTAATTCTCCCTGCATTCTGTGGAAACTGAATGGTCTTTGGGTAGAGTAAACAATGTCTTGGGTCATCTGGAGGTGATCACAAAATTAGACAGTAACTTCTAGTCCCATCCCATGCTTTTAAAAAATGACAGATCATTGCAGTATAATTTACAAATGTAAATAACAAATACTTTAAGAATATTACCTTTCAAAATGGAAGCATAGAACCATTAAGTCCTACAGAAAGTCTCTGCCACCTAATCTCAGATAGCAAAGCTGAATAAACACATAGCTTCAGTCTTCAACTATTATCTGATCACATTGTCTAGCATCATTTTATAGCTGAATAAGGTCCAGCTAGTGCATTAGCCTTATATACTGATTTTGTGGGAATCAATCCAACAACTTTTATTGTACCACTTTCTTTCTTCATAAATAAAGATACACACAGTAGGAATGCCACCACCACTTGCTTCAGAAACATCAATGGACACAAAATTACATGCTTCCTCATAAAACAACAACAACAACAACCACCCAGGGAAATAATATTGTTGACAAACTTTGCCCACACTGAATTGCATAATTCCCACGAGTGAGATTGTTTTTCATTAACAATAAACCTGCCTGTTTCATGATTCTTCAGTCTCAAAGAAAACTACAGAAAGCAGGAGGAAAGGAAAAGTCTAACTCTCATACAGCCAACTCTACTCTTTGATTTCCACATTACTGGAATTAACTCCTATTAAACAGACTTCAAAAAAATCTTTCCCTGACTCTGCATTCTTATGAAACAATAAAATTACCAGGCAGTGCCAACTGCACACATTATTAAGAAAGTGACAATCTTCCTTCTTATCTGCACTGGAGTGACTCACCATGTAAACTGTCATCTTTCGAAGCAGCTGACATTGTAACTTAGAACTGGCATTACACATAGCACTCTATCATATGAAGTACTTCTCACACTGATTTCTGATGCCCAGCTTCACACCATTTACCTTTCTCATACAGAAATCTGCAATATAGGCTGGCCACATGCCCTTTAGAAACAAAGGAAAATGGATGGTAATTTAGAAATCCAGCTCTTATACAAGCTGAGGAGATAACTCTCTCCTTCTCTATCACCTACAGAAAGAAAGCAAGCCACCTGCAGTGGCTGAATCCTAGTTCAGCTGTCATGGGTACCTGCCTAAAGCTGAACAAAATCCAGTTCTTAGTCTCCTCCTTGTCTTCTAAGCTTATCTCTAATTTTTATTACAGTGTACTGGGCTTTTTGGTTTTAACTGCCTACACCGAGACTCTTCAGGACAGAAGAGGTTCATCTCACAAAAGCTTTCTCAATAAACACATCTCTGGAGCCTATGATGTGTCAGGCTTATCTGTTTTTCATCATCATTGAGTTAGTACATAACGGAAAACTTCCAGTCTCTTGTCTGTGCATCTACTCAATTTCAGCCTTTATGAAGTAGAAACTATGAGAAACCCTTGTCTAGTACAGGATGTCAATTGTCGTCCAACACTTTTTGTGTTGGGTGGCTTAGTGGGAGTTCTTAAAAATGAGTTTTAGATTAACGCTAAAATTCAGACATGCTTCTGATGACTAATGCTTGTAACCTAACTGTCAGAAGTGATGAACAGCAAACAAATTGCCAAAGTTGTCTGTTTGGCCACTGCAGGGAACCATTCTGAAAGTCTTTGGTCTGGAAACAGGGACTTTGTGAAAAATAGCCCCTTAGGCTTCCTAAAGCAGTCTTGTTGATACTGATTTTAGTAGGAAGTTTTCCTGGCAGTACGAAGATGCTTCATTAAAATGGATTCCACATTTCTGCCTGACAAGAGTCTTTTCATTATTTGATAAATCCAGATGCCTAGTTTGCAATTCCTCCTGAAATCAAGAAGCATATCTATCTGAAAGCATCTAAACATGACAGAAGACAAGATCTGCTCCTGCTTTTTACATAGAATGAAGGCACAGACAAAACATTAACGGATTTCCCACAAGGGAAAGAAGAGACCAATGAGCATGCGTTTAAACCTATTACCAGAAAATCCAGCCATGAAAACCAAACTCAACATGACATGAGTGTTCGAAACACCACAGGTTACTCTGAACTCTAGCCTTTAATACAAGTGCACTGAATACTAGTTCTTTTCACTTCTATTCCCATTAATACAGCTAGCCAAGCAATTTGTCTTGAAACAATTAAACGTGCTATGGAAAAATACCAAAACCATGCCAACATTCCTTTTCCTTTTCAAGAACTACAATAAAGTATGTTGCAGCTGAGATTAATAGGAATAGCAAACCACTTTTATTTACTACCGATACTGTTCACTTGATTCAAGGACATTTCATTGTATTCATCTTGGTATGTTTTGTAAAACTCACACAATGTGCTTTCATAAGATTATTGTTTTTACCTTACATATACACAAGAACAACTAATGCAAAAAAAAGTGAATATCATTGATAATGGTAAGTATTAGTAACTGTTTCTTAAAAGACGAATTCCATAGAATTCTGGCAAAACCCAGGTGATCTACCATGCCAGACAAAATGAAAAAAAGTTTCTAAGATGGATGCACCTCAGTTGATTATAAATATTCTATAAATAGGGAAGTCCACATGTATATTGAGACAACGTCAGCATCATGAAATTATTAATATTATATAAATGACAAATTCTTAGGAACTGTGTCTGCAGTAGATATTTAGCGTTGATTTGCATCCATGCATGCAGGTCATACTATCTGTCCTTAACTTACATGGTCAGTAAAGCTTGCAGATCATCATCAGCCAGTGGCAACTTAAAGGACTTGCAAATAGTCCTGCACATGTCATGGGGCAGCACTCCACATCTACACAAACAGAAAGAGAGGGAGAGCAGTGTACATTAGGTATTTTCCAGATTTACCTCAAGTGAATGTTGGTGTGAATAGGAAAACATGTGAGGAATATTGGGGTAGAGGTAAAGAAAACAAGGTTTTATGAAATTTTGCTATTACAAAGCCAAGAAACTTGAAGTGCACATAGTGGCCTTCCTCCCCCACACTGAGGTCCTTAGTGATTCTTTATCTGTGACATCAGAGAACAAAAAGGGCAAATGAGTCATATAAAGAATCAGCTAGAAATCCTTCCTTTTTTCCCCTTAAATCACTGTTTTCCTCTTTGATTTAAAATACTGTGTTTTGCCTGTGAACAGGCATCTGACTATGTCACAGAATGTTCAGTACAGCAGCTATAATAAAAACTCCACAAACAAAATGAAAAAGAGACAAAAAGCCTATTCTTTTCTTGTCTGCTGTCAAAGTGCTGGAAGAGGGTTAACTTTACCAATAATAATTCTTTGGCCGCAACGTATCATTTGTTCAGCAACAAACAAAAAGTAGGTAGGTTTACAAGCAGAGCTTCCCAAATAACAGCTTAGGATAAATAGAGGAAACTTACTTTTCACGGTCGTTGTACATAAGGACCGCAGACAGTTGTTCAAAATTCTCAAAGCTATTTTTCTTTAGTTGTTCATGAGCCACTGCAAGGAGGAAGTGGAGGTCCATTTTATATTCATCTCTGACACCGTAGTAGCGCCCGACAGTCAGAATTTCATGTTCTGAAAATGCTCCATCAGTGATACTGACTATCAAATTTCTGTTCACAAAACCAACAGTCTACATTAGTTTTAAGTAAAGGAGTTAAAAACTGTTAATAGTCACTAAATTTCAAGGGGGAAAGAAGATCATAGTGCACTCATTATAAAATGCTGTATTTAGATCTTTAAAGAATGTATCCACTTAAAATTGAAATACAGATCTGTTCAAGGAAGTATAATGGAAATTACCTGAACTCTTAAACTTTTGCCGGATGTCCACATTTCCTCAGTGGTTGGCTATACATACAAAAATACATAATAATCATGACTGAAGCCTTTTACCGGCGATGCCATACTGGCATGGAATATTAGTAGAGATTAATTTTGTCATTGCATTTGTCCAACAAGATAGTGAATTAACAAGGTATTACTTTGGTTTGTTCCTAATTATATTTTGCATTCTGCAGCACATGATTAATTATCTGTAAACAAAAAAGCATGCACAGCAGTTGCAGAAAATAGAGAGCGAGAATTAACAATGACAGAGGAGAAGTGGGGCAGAAGATCCCAACAGAGAAAAGAGTATTAATCAAGTGTCAAGCCGTACTTCACAAAGCATTGTGAAAGCTGGCCTTGCTGGGTAGCTTTCAGGGGAAAGCTGGGGGAAGGGAAACAGAAATTGGTCACAGAGAGAGGGCAGAAAATTACACCCAACTTGTAATCACAAGCCCTCCTGGCAAGAATGGAAGACAGGAGGCAGTAGCGAGACCAGTTTATGCTCGGACACTGTCAGTGGAGAGTCAGATCCTATGCAGGAAAGAGCCTGAGATGTGCCCTCCCAAAGATTGCTTGTGGTGCTCAGATGAATCAGCCCAATCTGAGGAAGGAGAAATGTTCCTGAGATCCATCTGATGGGCCAGTGCTGGCACTGAATGACTACTCATTCCTGTTAATGTCAAGAATTTGTTGCTGGTAATAGAGCTGGAGCGATTTCTGCGTAAGCTCCTGGAGGCACTTGTAGCATATCGGCAAATGGACACACCCTTTGCAGCTTAAGAACCAGGATCAGTAATTACAGTTCAGAACAATCTCCCTCTGCTTTATATTGTTGGTGGAGGGGAGGAGAAGGACTAATTTTAAAGACTGTGTTGCCTTTGTAGTAGGAGTTTTGTTGCCTTCAGTGATTACAGAGTTCTTCGTATGTCCTGGATGTTGACACAACATAAGGGAAAAAAAACACCAGTAGTGAGGTATGCAAGGAAACCTAGGAGGCTTCCTGCTCTCCTGGAAAAAAATGCACCTGAACTGTAGGTTACCTCAGCTGCTACAAGGGCTCTTGTCAAACCTGGCTTCGTGTAACTATATGTTGGTGTTATGAACCCAAACGTCTCCCTCTGGTGAACTCACGTTCAACAGGATATTTTTACCAGTAAACATCAACATAGCCCTATGTGCTTCAATCAGAATTAGGTTAATTATATATAATACGTCTGGATAAACTGCACTAAGAATAAACTTCACCATAACTGCTGATGCAATTAGAGCTGTACCTTGTGGTACCCTCGAAGGTACTGCTTCACTGTGATTATATACTGATCTTTGAAAACAAATGGAATAAATTATTAGCAATGCACAAAGTTCTGATGCAAGACTCAAACTGCTGGCTTGAGAATAGTTACATTCCTGAATGCATCTGATAATGGGTGTCTTAACGTCCACATGTGAAGTCAAAGCACAGAAACTTAGTACCCTTCCAAACTGCAAAGTTTTATCAACAAACGTAATTTTTCACTTGCTTCTTCTCAAAGGCTTGTATCGTCCTGTTCAAATGAAGATATCTCTTCATAGAATATAATTGCACTTACACAGCTATTCAAAAAAGAATGCTAAACACTGCATAGTGTCTGCTTTGATTCAACTGCTGCATTTTTCATATTAAATAAATCAGCAAGATCCTTTATTTGCAGTAGCAGGAGATAAATATAAGAAGACAAGCTGTTGACAATAGCGAACCTTCTTTGAGATTATGCAAACAATGACCAAAACTTGGTCCATCTATTAATATTATCATTATCTTGTCAGCATTATTATTCAACTTACTGAATATTATTATTTATATTGTAGCAGCATTCAGAGATCCAGTCAAAACTGGAGCCTCTTTCCTGGAGCCTGCAGTAATACTACTGCACACACAAAGAGGACAATACTGCCTGATAAGCCTGACACTCTAAATGCTTGGGCTGGCAAAGCTGAAAGCATGTAGATAACATCACCCATCTGAATTTCCACAGACTGGATTTCCACACATGGCACAGGTTTTTCCAGTGTCAGGAGTTTAAAGGTCTTTTATTTTCTCAAGCCAGTCAGTGACAATGATGTCACCAAAACCCCCAGATAAAATTATTGTCTCATTTGGGAATTAAGGAATATTCTAGTGATTGCTAGAGACTAATGAGTGAGACCTAAGATTCAACAGAATTACATCTAAACTCTTCCTGAGAAAAAGAAATGGGGTGCAAGAATTGTTCCCACAGCTTAGTTATCTTTTGGTTTACTTTTTTTTGTTCTAGAGGAATAAGACAGATTGCAATCTGAAATTGGTAGAGAAAGAAGAAATAATAATTAACAGCTTAAGAGAGCTGTTTCTCAAGCAGAATTGAAGATAGGCATCTTTGTTAAACCCACGTGGTTCTTTGTCTATAACAGCGAACTGTCTTGCCAGTAGCTTATGAGAAAAAGCAGTTTGGATAGGACCATGTGATGCACAGGCATCTAAGTTTTAGGAGTCTTTTTCCTTCTCTTTTTTTAACAAAGCTTTCAATAGCTTTAACGATAGCTTAGGGGATAACTTCAGTGTACACCGTGTATTTATTTCCTGGATGACGTGCTGAATATTTCGGTTCTGCAAGTAGTTAAAGTAAATTGTATAATTACAATTCTGCTTCACTACATCATACTTACAGGTGTATTTTTAAATACATATTTTAAATACAGTTCATATAAAATTACATAGGTAGAAAGGAAGAAATCTGAACAGCCAAATTCAGAGCACAGTAAAGCTTTAGCTCTATATAAGATAAGAGGATTATCGTGCTGGTTGAAGTTGTCACACAGATAATTGCCTGTACTAAAAATAATCATTTGTAGTTAGTTATAGTCATGAAATGCCATGACAGATTAAAAATTAACAGTGATATACACAAGAAAATACAAAACTGAAAGAAAAATACATATTCTATTCACAGAAAAATATCTTTGACTTTTAGAGATGCAAAGAAGTGCTTTCATCTTTGTCATTAAGAATGTTTCTTTCATTCTAAAATAAGATGCACAGATAATAAAAAGAAGAGAGCCTTTAGATTACTGGCTATAACACGAATGAACAGAAACAAAAACTACTATCACTATAAAGCACAGAAGTTAAATGTTCCTGAAAGGCAAATTCTTCCTCTGGCAGTGTGAAAGTTTCCTGTTAGCCCCGCTATGGTCCCACTGCAGGAGGGTTGTAGACCATCAGTAGATGCTCAGACTGGCTCACGTGGGCACTGAGACCAAGAAAAAATTTATCACCTGGGTTCCCCTACTTTCTCTCTCACTCATGGAGAGGGCTACAGCATTTTTGTTGCTGAAACCAAGTGCCTCAGTAACATTGAGCTAGACATATCTTACTCCATGCCACACAACAGCGCTACCCTAAATTAAACAGCTGGGCTGTTCACAGCTGCACAGAATACAATTGTGATTAAATTTACACTCAGCTGAGCCTCTCTTTGACAAAATAAAAATCTTTCCTTGCTTCTGGAAAGCACAATCATCCCTTCTAAAAGTGTGCTCCACCAATTTCATCATGCAAATGCTCCGAAACTTTGACCTGCTCTTAGTGCATGTAAGAAGATGAAGTTTTGCAGATTATTATTTCATAATTTGAATTAAAATAATAATTATTTGATTTTAAAGTTATTATGCATATAAATTAAAACCCTTTTCCAAGTGCTATAAAGTTTCTCCCGACATACATTAACTTTTCATTTTCACTCCCCTTCTTGCTCTAGTAATAACTTTTTCCCTCTTCATGCAATTAACAATTCAAAATCTTGCTTCTTTTGAGTAAAATGTCTGAGTCTAGAAATATTTTGACCAAAAGCTGCCAAAAACTGTGGCCTCTCTTAGTTTAAATCCTACCTTTTACTCACTTATTTTTCATTTCTGAATAACACCTTGTTTTCATCTCTCACTACTTTCACTTTGCATTGCTGGAAGAACCTTCTGCTGACCTATATCTCTTCTGAGATATTTCAGAAGCAATTTCTGCCTTGGTTAACATGCCTATAGGGATGACATTCCACACAATATACATCTACTTATATACTTTAGTTATTATGACAGTTCCTAAATACATAGTGGATTACCAGTGAGAAAACCAAATGCTTCTAGGTAAAATTTCTTCCTCTGTTCCACATCATTAACTCTACTAGTACGCAACACCGTTCATATGCTCAAGTATTTTGGCTGTGGGATAAACTGAAATCAGTCAGCATTTGAGCATGACTTCCTCTTTCTACTGTCTATATGTTTGCCCGTTGCCATACCTGAAGCATTGCCAGAAGCCAGATTTCTGCTCCCCCTATCTATGCTGAAATTACTATCCAAGCATGAATGAATTATTGCTCTCACTACTGCTTTATAGTCTTTTTTAAAGATGCATACTACTGCATCCTATAATTTCAATACATCTTGGTTCTGTGAAGACACTCTTCTCTATTAGTGATTCAAACCTCAAATAACACCATTTTCAGGCGGCAACTCAAACATTTCTTCTTGAATTTCAAGTCTACTAATTAATTTGTTTGTTTGGCGCTCAGGATGGACTTTTCTTTATCTTTCAGTGTATATATTACTGCTGACTTGCTCTTCTTGACAACACCCTGTGCCAGCTCCATGAAAAGCAGACAGATTTCAGTTGTGCTTTTCAGCTTACTTGAAATTATTACATTTCTCTTTTTTTCTGGGGCATGGGTTCGCTTTCTTTTTCACACACAGTCTCCAAGTAAATGCAAAACAAATACACGCCATTTGTCAGCTAACACATGCAGAAAGCATCAAGAAACAGTCATGCTCTATACATTTTTGGAGAATGCACCTTCATTAAATATTAAAAAACAAAATCCACTGTCTTACCTGAAAGGGTCATACTCAATCACCTTCGTATACTCAGGGTCAGTGGCAGCAAACACCTGTCTGATTTCTCGGGAACGAGGTTCGGCTATGTCTTTCAGTTTTGTGAGGATGACACCAATATCAGCCACGGAGAACTTAACAAAGGAAGGCAAGGAACAGATTAGAGAGAAAGGCACTATGCATGCACTGTCAAGATGCAGGGCAATGCTGAACTTCAAAGTATTATTAGTTTCTTCATTGTTTCATTTCAAATACATAAATCAGCACTGTGTTAAGTTTGGAGGGAAGTTTGCTACTGAAAAAATTGCTTCCTACTGAGAATATAAAAAATTAAACAAAAACCATCAGATCATGCACTGTCAGAAAGCTTATTCCAATGACATAAAAGGACATCCACTTTCGCTTCAAACATTGAATTGTTAAAGCAGAAGCAGAGACATTTGAAATACAGTTCTAATAACTTGGTCCCAATTTTATGTTAGTGCATCTCACTTAATTCTCAACTAATAAAATTCACCATGTTAAAACTAATCTTTTCACCGTTGGCTCCGATGAACTGTTGAACAGATATTCTCATTCATATTAGACTGAGTATGCTGTTTTACATACTCAGAATTAGCAGATTGGAAATTCGTTAGGAACCAATTTTTCCTGTCATGTCAGAAGAATGTTTATTTCTTCTAAATATAGGCTACTAAAATAAAATTAAATTTAGATAAACAGAACTGGAGCACTTAAGCTTCCACCCTACATTCAGATTGTTGTGTTAGAGCTCTACCGAAGATTTATTTGCTATACTCATTTTTAACATAAAACATCTATGTATTTAGTCATTAAATAGTGGTTGAGTATCTGATATGCCCTTACATCTGTTGTGCTCTACCTAACTTACAAAAGCACAATGAACTATCTGAAAATAGCTTTCTCCCATTTCTTCCAGTAAGCAATGCTGGTTTAGCTAACAATTATTTGGAATTTGGTATGACTGGTATTAAGGACCTAATAACAACAGAGATTGGGCCTCACTCTCAATTCTGCTGAAGTTTGTCTAGAGCATTGTATCAGTTCAAAGGGATCTAGAAAAGGGTATTCAAAGTTCCTGTGACACTGCCAGAACAGTATAAAGTGACCCAAGTTTAATAAATACATCAGTGGTTGCAGGTAGCATGCTCAGATTTAGAGAAAACAGTTGCTGCATGTGCCAAAACTGTTCCAGGTATAACCCTGGCATGCAATGCTATGCAAGGCAGTGGTGTGGAGCAGCTGGACCAGCAATCAAAAAGTTTTAGAGACAGCAACTTTTTCAATCCCCTCCCCAAGCTATTATTGTTTGGGCCATAAGCACACAGCTTTTTTGAAAAAGCAAGGAACAGAGATTGAGAAAAGACCAGGCAGAAGGAATCAATCAGCAGAGTATTTAAAGATGGACAAAGTGTTCTGTCTATTTAAAACCTGCCTTCTCTACGTTGTCAAAGCAGTTATTTTTACATCTTTTTCCTAAACTACATATTCCAAACACCTACACAGACATCAAGTATCTGAGCAGCATGGCAATAACTCTTTAACCGCTTTCCCCTCTTCTCACGTAATTGCTGACATGCTGTAGCCACAATCTAGTTTTGTTTGATTGTCTTGCTTAAGTCAGAGGTTATGATGTTGTATTCAATGGAAATAAAATCAACCTCCATGTTTGTGCTGCAGAAGACTACAAAGTTTGAACAATTGAGACTATTTCAGAGATGACAAATTCATTTCCAAGGAGGCACAGTGACGTCTTGTTTGAAAGAGTCCTCCTCAAACCTGGATAATTGCAGTAGGACTGTGCAAAACACACATGTGCTGCTTTGCAAGCAAATTTACTCTTCCTAAATACATCTTTTTTCCTCAAATTGTAAAAGCAGCTGAAAGTGTTGAAAAGTTTTGAGAATTAGATCTTTAAAGTTACTTTCAGTACAGGTGGCAATCAAAATGACAAGATTCAATGATTTTTCTCTCCCCGTAACTTAAAAACAATATAATAAACACAATTTTGAAACAGAAAATTAAAACTTTCCAAATATATCACATGGTGTCAAACAAATGTTTCAATGACAGCAAAATCAATTCTGATCTGCACTGCGATTACCCAATCAAAATTTCATCTAAATCAACATATGCCTATAGAAATGTGGTCAAAATGGCATTTTCCAGAAAAGAAAAATTCCATTTGGATTTCTTTCATCAATTGTCAGAAAATGTACTGATGTGTTCTGCTGAAAGGAAACTTCTGTCTATTCAGAAGGAAAATTATTTATGTTCTAATTTTAGAAATAACTGACAAATAGTCATCTTAAAATTATTTTCCATTCTTCAAACCATCTTCCAGCTCTGCTCTTCTCTAATAATTGCTAAAGTTCTTGCGATTTGAGTATGCAATTCCCTGATGAACTGAGGCAAATGAGAGGTGTCCTTACTTCTGGAGCTCTATTCAAAGGATGTGAATAAAGCATCCATCGTTGGGAGAATAAACCTTTTTTTCCTACCAGCTGTTTTGAAATCTTAACTCCACAAAGAACATTTCAAAATTCATTTTAAAGAAGTATTTTTAGTGTTGCTTCTTCCCATTTTGCAGATTTTATTTTGATAATATACAATCATTCAGTCTGGAAAACTAAGAACTCATCTGTTTGATCCAAGATAATCAATGCAAACAGCAATTCCAAAGAACAGTTACAATCTAATGATGTGCTCTGCATTTTGGAAAATAGCTTTGGGTTTTATTCTACTAGGAGGAGAAACAGTCCAGAAGTAAGAAAACATAATGTATATAGTTTTGTATTTTACTGCTTAAAGCATTTAGCAGTCATAGCATTTTACGTCAACAAGCATTTTGCAGACCTTCCTCCATTATTCCAGGGAAGGCAGGTGGTGCTAACTCCACGTTAATTTACAAAGAAATCACGCTGTTCTGCTATTTTCATTTGAATGAGAACAGCGCATGTGGCCCAAAGGCAGCACAGGGTCAGGTTGCATCTGCCTCTGCCTCAGCAGCATCAAGACCTGCAGTCCCCAAGACTGCGCTAGGCCTGCTGGTGTCTTGGGAGGTTTGCTCACTTTGGTGAGCCAGCAGACAGGGAACAATTAAAACCTGCACTAAGAACCTTCTCCCTTCTCCACCCACAACAGATCTGGACAAAAGGGCAGAGGACAGTATCCTGTAGCTTGATAAACCCTTCTGGATATTTTCTGTAGAGTACTCTCAACAAGCCTACGCAAAAGGGTAGCTCTGCGGAAGGACTCCCGAAGGCACGATTCATGCTGCCACCCCACCATGAGCTATGAAGCATACGCGCTATCCCAAAGTCCTCACAGCACAGTCTAGTCCAAAGGCTGATGTTCAAGACGACACTGTGACAAAGCAACAATCCAGAAGAGGGACTGGGATGCAGAAATGCTTTGGATCCTGAGCCAATGCATTCTTAAGATGCGTCTCAGAGTGACTGAGTCAGAGCTGCACATAACAGGAATTTCAAAGTATACCAGAGTACATTTATTCAAATATTGCAGCACAAACTTCATCGTAAAAAAACCCCCCAAAACAGTACTCTGCATTTCTTAACAAACCAACATAAAATCCCACAAAATGCTCTGTGATTCTTCTGTGGTTCTCCATCCCTGTATCCTTTCTTTTTTGACCTCTGTGACAACTGCTATAGGACAATCAATTTCATCTTATTGGATATGCTTCTGGCTTTGGTGAATGAGGACTTCTTTACCAGCCATTTGTGTAATGACTGGTAGGACACAGTATACAACAGCAGAGGCACCCCAGTTCTCTATTTATTGTTGCTCTCCCCTCTGAAGGCAACACCAAAAGACAGTGAAACTCAGTACAAACTGTAAGCTTGAATTACTGACTGTGATATGATTTCTAATATTACAAGGGAAACGTTTTGGCAGATAAATATGTACGAACCGAAAAAATCAAATCAGGGGATGAAATAGCCTCATCAGTAAGACTCTAAATTGGATGTGCCTACATCTTGAGTACTGTGCACTGTTCCAGTCTCCACATCTCACGATTGCCTTCAAGGACAGAGTAAAAAGGGTGAGACTCTTATAGGGATAGGATTAGACTGAGGGGGAAGAATGTGTGAGATTTACAAAATGATTAAGGTGGTGCATAAAGTGAATGGGGATTTTCACCAAGCCCCAGAACACTAGAAGTGGCATTGAAACTAGTGAGAAGTTGGTTTAAAACAGATAAAAGATACTTACTTCTTTTATCATATACTTTTTTACATAGCAGCCAGTGAACTTTTCAACTTGCTGGCACATAAAGCTGTGGAAGCAGACAGTATCTGTAGGTTCAACAAGGGTTGGATCAATTCAGGGACAAGAGGTCCATAAACAGTCTCAAGAATGAACAACACGATAAGAGTGGATGCCAAGAAAATAGAAGGAGAATGGACAATACAGAGTGACCAGGCTTGCATGCACTCCCTAGCTAGCACCTCCTCAATCCATTGCTTAGAGAGACCGCACTGGGCTGAGAAGTTTGAGTGAAGAAACTAAGTATATATAATTCTGAAAAATATAAAGATAAGATACAGTCCTTAAAGATAATAGAAAATAACATGAGCCTGCTTCACCTCATTTGCATGCTTCTCCATGTAGTTGAATGTGTACTCATCAGCATCCACCACAAGAAAGTTGTGACCATGGAAACAAACTCTGGCTCCAACAAACAGATCCTGAGCCTTGAAGTATTCAGATGGCTTACTCTTAAAGAGCTCCTGCCCAGGCTTCTTAATGCGACCTCTTTCCAAGAACTTCCCACCAAGTATCCCTATGGGAACAGAATTGTAAAAAATTAATTGTGCCTTTACTGGGGGGGAACCACAAAAGAAAACCCCAAAGACACCCCAAAACAGCTGGTTTGTATTTAAATATCAGTTTTCATCCTTGAGTTTCTTGTCTCATAATATACTCTTCCCACCCCCCCTTGCTAAAAGAACTGTCTCTGCCAGTGTCCACAGCAACAGTTACATTGTGCATATTCTGTGACATGTCTCATTTGAATGCCTGCCAAACACCTTCCCTTTTTTCCCTTTTCTTTAAAATGGGACAGAATGTGCCTCTTCAAATCGTTCCCATAACCCTGTCGCCAGTCTTTGGCCTGACCCTTGAGAAATGTAAGATGCAAAATGTAAGATGCAGGCAATTATCCTTGAACTGTTAAAGCAGAAAAGAAAAAAGAAAAAAAACCCCACAACTTAGGATAGCACAGTCCTATGAAGATCATGAATTCTGGTGCACTGTAATTCTAACTTGTTTTTAAGGGCTTTTGAATGTAAAAAAAAAAAATTAGGAGTGACATGACACTATCTTCCACATACAGTTCTGCCAATGCAATTTAATTGCAATCTGTTATTTCCTTTGTGAGTTGAGTATGTCACATTATTTCTTTTCACATTATAATGATTTTATTCGTGCCACTGGAAACTGCATGCGGTGCTCAAGGGTATGTAAGATACTAAAAGGAACATCTCACTTTCCAGTAATATCTTCTGGTGCACCACAAGATTGCATTGCATGTACTAAGCTTTCCAGAAAACAGTCTGTCACATGTTTAGTTTCATCAGGATATGTGCCCTACAACAACTCCTGAGTGCCTGGGGTTCGTTTCCTGTTTGTATTTGAGCTTCCAAGCCAAAAGCCAAAAAGCATACTTTAGTAACATAATGATGTCTTACATACTAGGTAGTGATGCAAGTCCAATAAAAAGCTGATGAACAGTGTAATAAAATGCCATTTGTAGTCAAAATTATAAATGAATGTGAAACCCAAACTACTTATCAAACCAGAGTTTGGATCAGATGTCTATCTTAATTGCTTTATTAGCACCATAAAAGCAAAAGACAAAAAATACACTATGGTAATGGTCAGGTCTAGCTTGAATAAAAAACGATTCAAATCACTAATGTAACTCTAATCTTAACACATTCCTTTTCACGTAGCTATTAAAACAAATACGAATTTTTAGGTTATATAATCCTGGCAACTGTTTGTACCATTTAAACAGAACTGGTCTCTATAAGATTGGAATTTCACTCTTGTGTCTGTATTTCCCCGCAATTGTGCACTTAGATTGGAAACTTACCTTAATACCTCTGTCCCATAATTGTTTTTCAAATGTTACAAGTTAGTACATTTCATGTGGTATAAAGAAAAACAACCAAAAATATCTCATTAGGTTAGAGATTTTACACTGAAACTTGATGAGAAATTTTGATGGAAATCTACAAGAGCCAGGCTCAAAGCACAAAATAAACACCACAACCAAAGACTCTCTTCCATTAAGACCAGATCAGACTTTGCAGGTGTTTGTACAGCTGTTGGCTTGGTCTTACACTGAGTAAAAAAGGAGTTGTGATCTTCTACATGGGGAGCCAAAGTGCTCATGCTTTGACCCCCATGTGAACAAGTGCTTCAAGATGTCCAGCCCGGTGCATTTCAAATACAGTTTCACAGTGTTACGAATAGTGTGAAGTACTTCTCTGCAACCTTCAGGTTGCTGGACTGAGAAAAGTAAGAGCAACTTTATTGCTTCCATCTCAGGACTGAGATTTGGAACATTTTTACTTGCCAATTTGTATCAATTCATAAAAATAAAAAAGGCAAAAATAGCCCTTTGAACCTGTGCACAAAAGGGATGGTCAAGTTGTTATTTTGGGAGCCATTTACTGGTTTAACTCATCACCTCTCTAAGACGTGCTCAACCTTACCCTTTTCCCACCCCATCCACTTCAACACTTTTCCTTCTCACACACGGATGTCCTTCTCGCTGCCATTTGCATGCCTTACTCCTTTTTTCTAGCTGCTCTTGTCTGACCTCTGCAAAGCCTTCTCATTCTTAACTTCAAAGAAACACATTCACTTTTCCTTCAGACATGACCAAAATGAGGGAGGGATAGAGAGAGAGAAGAGAAAGGGAGAAGAAAGAAAAGAAAGAAGGTAGGAACAAAGAAACTTCTGCAGTCCCAGGCCTCTTTCCAACTGCTGCTCTACCTCCCCCCCTCCACCATCCCTATTTATCCTGCCTCTTCATGGCTGTTCTGACTGAACTCTCCACTGGCCAGTTCTTAGCCACATCCTTCCATTTCACCTTTCTACCACCTCTGGAAGTCAGCTACTCCATACACTTTAACATCCCAGGAAAGTTAAAAACCCATTTACAGATACCTGCCTTTCATACACATCTTAAAGCGTTTGTTATTGCTGGTTTGCAAACTTGCACATTTATTGTTTCACATTTTGTTTGACTAGCAATGTTCAATGGGCTCCAGGCTGCAATCCCAGCATATATTCTCATTCCAAAACAAAAGGAAGCCAGGGAGCAATCTCTGGCCTGGCACCCACGCTGTTGAGAGCCTGACCAACTGACCACATCTGCACTGCACAGTGTGTGGCTCTGGCTCTGCTCTGGGTGATATGTGATATATCTGGGGTCTTAAGACATAGCTATTATTTTTGTGTGTTCAAACTGTTTGAAGGTATGTGAGGGCTGTGCTGCAGTCCAAGAGTGGTGTTTTACAGCATATAACCGAGGGTATGTATTGCAGCCCCTGGGTGTGACAGAAGGACCTGAATTTTTGAGTGTACAAAACCTCCTGGGATAGTGCTAGATGACTGATAAGGGTGGAGCAAGCCAAACCTGGTGCAGCCTTGTCCTTACTGCTTTGCAGGAGACTTTTCTGGAGTTAAGCACCCTCCAGGAGGGGCCCCAGGCTTTCTGGGGCCATGTCTAGTTGGAATGGTGCAAAGGAGAACCAGGAATGACCGAGCAGTCAATATGTATGTTTGGGGTCCAAGATTCAAATTGCTCCCTGGACTTCTTTAACAGTGCAGCTGTACCCTTAGCATCCTTTATGTCTCCAGACATAAAGAATGCCAATCAAACATGTCATTCACTAGTGGAGAACTGAGCCTCTTGAGCCTCACAGCAGCATTACATAATACATACATACATAAATGTATTTATCTTTAGCTGTGATAAAAGAAGTTGCACAAATTACAGGCCACTGGATGGCAGGAAACTAGTAAAATAATGATGACAGGGCACTGCTGCTATAAGCAGTGCTAAATCTTGATATTGCAGTGGGGCAGAGCTAACAGGGAATGCTCACTGAAGCATAGGCAAGTACTCTACACGTTTTCAAAACATTTCTCAGGGAACTGCTTGTATTTTAGTTGGGGGTGAGGTCCCTATTTACGCATTCATACTATAGTTGGATACAAGCAGAGAAGCCATTAGAAGTTCTTTGTATTGAAAAGGCTCAGGCCTTCCTAAAAACCTACTTATGTGCAGGGCACTCAAAATGACTTAGTAGCACCCCTGGCACAGAAAGAGTTCTCTAGGAATACAGAAGGGTCTAGGTATTCACCACACCTCCATTTTTTATGGATGCAACGTTCGTCACAGGTCTGAAAAGGATTGACATCAGAAATAATTTTCAGTAAAGGCTTAAGTGTAGGGTCGTAAGCCTGAAGCAAAAGGGAGTGAACAGTCCTCCCTATTACAGTCTTTGCTCTAGAGAGTGAGCTGGAAGGTTAGCACTGAGCAGAGTGTTATTACTGGTCACCATTGCAGGGTGTACCTGAAATACCACATGGAGGTGCTCTGTGCCAAGAAGCTGATACAGGGCAATTCACAAAGTATCAAAAGAGCTAGTCATGAGGTTCCACAAGAGCCTAAAATGGTAACTAAGGAAACCTTCTATTACTCTTTTTCCCTTGTCTTTGAATGTGATTTCCTGATTTTTTTTCTCTCTATGGTTTTATCAGAGGCTGACAGCACCTTTTAAGAGTCAGTCCTTCAACTGCTCATATTGAGAGCTGCCAGAGCATTTCTGGATGTTAACTGCTCTGAAACTGTTGCTGCAGATGTTCTGTGGGCTTCACAGAAATGCACTAATTTCTCCAACAGGGTCATGCTTAGTCAAGGCTTCCCTATCTCTCTGAGTTACAGAATTACTTCCTGACATTCTTCCCAGTGCTGTGCCCTTCCATCCATGTGTGAGACACTCCAAGGAAATAAAAAGATGCTTGAAAATCACAAAACTTCTCATATCCTCAGTTGGAGGCAGCCTACAACAGACAACAGTAGTCAAAAGGTCACAACATTGGGGGACCACACTCCAGCAATAGGATAAATGTGATCAAGCAACTGAGAAGTACAAATCATTCATCACTTAAATACTGGTAGTCTGGCTCTTGAAATTCAGTTCAGTATTACACACACACACAGACACTAGCACAGGGCAATCTTCACTCTTTATATGCTCTACACTACATGATTAATGATAAAGCATGCTAAAAAATGACAGCAGTTTTGGCTTCATGAGCTGTTTCTATACAATGGATGCTATATACGTATTATAACACCATAACACAATCTTGCAAAGCAAAGGATTTACTCTTTCATTCTTGACGTCTTATATTTCCTGTCCCTATTTATCATCAGTTATAATACAATTCGTGTATGTTATCCACAACAAAAGCAAATGTTTAAAGGCCTAATTTGCAAATTAAAATGTAATAAAAGTTCTAATGCATTCAACTTCCAGTTCCCAAAGGATATTGTGAAGTACTGTCATACAATGAACAGCGCTATTCTGAGTGATGAAGATTATAAATTACTATGACATACAACTATGCAAGATAATGCAGTAGACCTGCTGATGTAATTCCCATTGCATTTAAAAATCCACATCCTTGCTTCTGCTAGTGGTGAGTCTGGCCAAAATGTTTACTGTGAACTCTAATCAAATGAGCAGGGCAACTGGGACTGATTGCAAGACATTGCTACATCTTACCTGTGTTTCGCTGTATATGTTCAAAAACTGAAATGGTGTCATCACTGAGGAAGTAGGAAATAATGAATTTCCGATCCTTGTCAATAGGACTATCTGTGACAAGTTTGGCAAGAAAGCGCAGTATGTTACTTTCCTTGCCACTTCTAAAAAGCAAAAGAAGAAGTAAGAAATCAAAAACAGAGTATGAGACAAGTTTTCATCACTAAAAGATGCATTCTCCTGAGTTTTGTAACATGCATTAATTGTGTTATTCCTGGACCAAGAAGGGAAATAGCATAAGATTCCCTACTTTGTCAAAAACCATTTTCAGCTTAAATTAACAGAACCAGCTAGAGTCAGCCAGATAGAAAGGAATAATTTTCAGGAGAAAATTACTTCTCTGCCACAGGTCTGGAATGAATTTGTATTCAAATTCAGTTGCAAATCAAGCTCCAAGTTTCTTTCCAGAAAATTTATAAAGGAAGAACACATTTACATATGTATATTTTCAAATCAAATTCTGAATAGCAATACATACTAGGATTATCTCCACAAAATCAGGCCCACCGGATGATCTTACCAGTTGGATATTTGTTAAGTGATTGTATTTTAAATGATTTACAGTACAACTATATGCATTATCAATACAATCCCAAGACTTTTTCTGTTAGCTTTCTTCTCTTACAGAGGTTCTGCAGGTGAATCTCTAGCATGTGACTTTGCTTTCTGCTTAGGCTTTGACAACCACTGTCTGACAAACCATTTCATAATGGAAAGTAAAGGGTTTATGCTTTAATATTGCTATGGTAAACTGCATGAAATTCAGCAGACAAAAAAAAAGTAAATGCCAGAAAGTCAAACAGAAAAACAAATCAGTGTTGGACTGCTAAAGCATACAGAATTCCTGACTAATACCTGGACTAAGACTTCCATCAAACTTCCACTGAAGACAGCAGAAGGGAAGGTGGTAGGGGGCGGGAGGGTCGGAATATTTCCCTTCTCAAAAGAGAAATTTTGCTGAGTTTGGAGAAAATTGGAGTACCGTGTTATTAAACCAGTCCTCATGCACCTGTCCCTTAAAAGTCTGATGAGCTGCATATTTTGCTGAAAAAAAATGACATCCCTACTTAACATTTCTCTCCTTCACAAAAAGACATAATTTAAAAAGTTGGAATTATTTTTCACTGAAATACCTGTCTTTTTCCATGAATTTCTTGAAATCTTTCTGGGGAGGCTTGGGAAGCAGACCCATACAGGAGCACAGAGAATCTTCTTCGGAACCAAATCCAGTATAAGGAGGAAACGTTTTTTCTGGTTTTGGAGGTGATGGAGCCTTATATGGAACTGGGGTGAAATCCTCTACAACAAAGACAGCAAGAGTTACTTATTACTGTTCTGATGAAGCCATTCTACTAAGGATTTAAACTTCCAATATGAATACTTATTAGCCTATTTCTGTAACAGAGCACTGATCAAAGTCAAACCAGGATCCCTCCTACTGTTACAGGGTAGAAAAAGACTCCATAGAAGCCAACAATGAAATTACTGTTTCTTCAAGGGTTTCAGGATTTCATCTATAATCGTAAAATGTTTGACAAATATCATTAAGATACACAGGCAAAAGGAAAGACAAATACAGTTTCAAAATGGGATAAAATAATAAAATAACATTTCTAAATTAATTTTTCAGTTTTATCCTTTGAGACAACATGATTAAGTAAATACTTGGCTTATGAGTTTCCTGCCCTCTGCTTTTTGCCAGAAGAAAATAAATACATAAATAAATTAAATTTTATTAATTATTTAAATCATACATATATGAGAAGAATGTGGTACACTGAAGCCAAGAGCTTCAGTCAACATCTCACTTTATGCACAGTTTTGGATGCTTGTTTCTACTCATCTTCCCCAGTCTCAAGTCTTTTGTTGCACTGATCAATGGTCCTGACTCTCCCAGATACACAGCAGGAGCTCTCCTGACTCAGCAGAGACGTGTCTGGTCAGGGACCTGCGCTCACATCCCATAGGGGTTGCTCCCAAAGGCTGCTGCCCTGTGGTCCCTCCTTACTCCTCTCTTGGTGAAAATCTTGCTGTACCATTTGGCCCCTTGTTGCTTTCCTGCCCTGCTCTTTTGTTGCCACTAGGTTTCACATAAAACTTCAACAGAGTAATACAGTCTGTTGGTTAAATAAGGTTAATGGAAAATGGAAAAGGTGAGAGGGAGAAAGTAACTTGTATATGGAAGAAAGTCAATGGGCAGACCCGAGGCAAATAAAGACATAAATCATAGGAACACAGGTTAATTCAGGTTGGATGGGACCTCAGGAGGTCTCTGGTGTGGTCTCCTGCTTGGGACAGGGTCAGCCCCAGGCCAGACCAGGCTGCTCAGGGCTGTGTCCAGTTGGGGCTTGACACCTCCTAGGATGGAGCCTGCACAGCCTGCCCTGGCAGCCTGCCCCAGAGAGGAAAGTTCTTCCTGATATTCGACCCTGAGCCTCTTGTTTCCACTAAAGCATGTTGTTTCATGCCCTTCTGCTGTGTATCCCTGTGAAGAGCCAGGCTGCCTGGTCTCAGCAACCTCCCCGTGGGTGGATGCAGGCAGCTGCTCAGGGCCCCTCCTGGGCTGAGCAAGCCCTGCTCCCTGGGGCGCTCCTCAGCCCTGACCATCCTGGGGCCTCCCCTGAACTCGCCCTGGCATGTCCATGTCTTTCCTGTCCTGGCAGACACAAAAGGGGACACAGTACCTTGATGAGGTCTAACGAGCGCTAGGCAGAGGGGGATAGTCACTTTCCTTGCCCACTTTTTGGGCAGCCCAGGCTTCAGCTAGCCCTCTGTGTTGTGGCCCCAAGCTCAGCTTGCTGCCCCCTCCAACCCACAGGGCCTTTCCTGCACTGACATGGGTGCAATGAGAAGGTCAGAGCAAACTGCGGTCCAATTGGTGTGGCACTGCCTGTATTAAGCTGCATCACCTCCACACCTGGGTGGGCTGGAGATGCTGTCCTGAAGAACAGAGAGCTGGCTGAGTGTATTGGGTTTGCATGGCAAGGTTTTGGCAGCAGGGGGGCTACAGGGGTGGCTTCTGTGAGAAGCCGCTAGAAGCTTCCCCTATGTCCAACAGAGCTGATGCCAGCTGGCTCCAAGATGGACCCACTGCTGGCCAAGGTCAAGCCTATCAGCCATGGTGGTAACATCTCTGGGAAGAAGGGGAAAAAAATAGGAGCAGTTTTTGCACCCAGAGAAGAGTGAGAAGATGTGAGAGAAACAACTCTGCAGACACCAAGGTCAGTGAAGAAGAAGAGAGAGGAGGTGCTCCAGGCACCGGAGCAGAGATTCCCTGGTAGCCCATGGAGAAGACCAGGGTGAAGCAGGCTGTACCCCTGCAGCCCATGAAGGATGATGGTGGAGCAGATATCCATCTGCAGCCTGTGGAGGACCCCATGCCCAATACACCCGAAGGAGGCTGTGGCCCCGTGGGAAGCCCACGCTGGAGCAAGCTCCTGGCAGGACCTGTGGCCCCGTGGAGAGAGGAGCCCATGCTGGAGCAGGTTTGCTGGCAGGACTTGTGATCCCATGGGGGACCCACGCTGGAGCAGTTCATGGAGAAATGAAGCACATGAAAAGGACTCATGCTGGAGAAGTTGGTGGAGGACTGTCTCCCGTGGGAGGCACCCCACGCTGGAGCAGGGGAAGAATGTGGGGAGTCCTGCCCCCAAGGAGGAAGGAGCAGCAGAGACAACATGTGATGAACTGACCACAACCCCCACTCCCCGTTCCCCTGTGCCACTCAGGGGGAGGAGGTAGAGAATTTGGGATTGAAGTTGAGCCCGGGAAGAAGGGAGGGGTGGGGGGAGGTGTTTTAAGATTTGGTTTTATTTTTCCTCACTCTACTCTGTTTTGCTTGGTAATAAATTAGATGAATTTTTTCTAAGTTGAGTCTGTTTTGCCCGTGACAGTAATTGGTGAGTAATTTCTCCCTGTCCTTATCTCGACCCATGAGCCTTTCGTCATATTTTCTCTCCCCTGCCCATCTGAGAAGGGGGGTGATAGAGTGGCTTTAGGGGGCACCTGGCCTCCAGCCAGGGTCATCTTGCCACGCTGTGCTAGGAAGTGAAAGATAAACACATGAGGCAAACTAGCTAAGTGACCGGTGTATAGAAGTGGAGCCCATGAAATAAACATTTTTTCTTTAAAACTTAACTTTTCTACCTAGCACTGAAGAGAGATGAATAATCTAAACTTGTAGCATGGGTTTCAGTGCAAATAGAGGAGAATGACAAAACTGCTGTCACTTGGAACATCTTCTGAATTGGTTAAAATGTTTTAAACATGGCTATATCCAAAGATCAAAGCACCATACTCTCTCAAAATCTGACTTGCCTAACAGCTGTATGAAGTTGAAAAATATAGAAAGAATTCAGATATCCAAGTTCTTCTTTATCTTGAAAACAAAATGAAATCTCCCTCGGCCTTTACCTCTTAGAAGAACATGGTCTGACTTGAAAAGCTAATACCTTCACCCAAATCAGTCACAAGGGGGGTTTGCAAAACCATGCCAACATTTTCCTCCATAAAAACTAAAGGTGCCCTTTCTGTGACTCAGAAGTAAAAAGCCAAGCCCACATGCAAAATAAAAGTCCATTCAGAAATTTTCCAAGCAATCTTCACCATGAAAGAGTAAGTGTACATGTAAACATGCACCAAAATATCATATTCTAAAAACTGCTTGTGACAAAATTGCCTCTCGAGACGCTTTCAGTGTGCGATCTTATGTAACTGACGCACGCAATTCTTGTTGCAACGAACGCGGAGTGTGCAAACCGACACGTGCGGATGACGGAGAGAACCCCCTCACAGGTGCGGAGCTGATGTGCGCTCAGTCACGGCGTGACGGAAGGAGCCGCGGGCGGTTCCCGCGCTCCCACAGCGCCACCTAGCGCCCCCGCGGCAGGTCACGACCGCGCGCTCCTGCGCTCAGGGCCAAACTCGGGCTCTTGATGCTGTTTATAAACCTTAATGGTTTGTTGGGTTTTGGTTGTTGGTTTGTTTTGGTTTTTTTTTTTTTTTTTCATTATGCGCTGTGTTAATCTGCACTAATATTTTCTCCCTCAAAGTCCGGAGGTTTGTACCAGCATATTTTAGCAGAGACAAACGCCCTTCTCTTTGCACGGTTTGCAAATAATACACTGCCTGGCAAAAGAGTTTGGGAAGCCAGGGTGCTCAGTTGCACCGATAAACTCAAAAGACGAGCTAATGTCTTTACATGCAGGTCACAGTGTATGCACATTAACACTCACGCGTAAGGCAGATTAACAAATGCTAAAGCATTTCCCTTTGTATGTACTTCAGCACATATGGATGAAAGTTAGATACATAAACTGAAAGGAAACTACAAATTAAGAGGAATATTGTGTTAGCTCCAGAGAGTATATTAAATCGCTCATAACCCAAACTTGGTGTAAACAAAGTCCAAAGATAAGTTCGGTGCTTTGGTTCCCATGCTTTCCCCAATGTAAAATGACCTCACTTCATTCAGAGTCACTGAAGAGAGCAACGCAAACATCCAGCCTTGTGCCACCTACAGTTTCCAGGATTTTAAAGGATTATATACTCAGATTGTCTCCTGTGAATGAGGAAATTCAGAAAGAAATTGCCATGGGGAAATACAGTTTACAAAATCAGTTAAAAATTAATTTCTGCACCTTTGGAACAGCCAGCTCGGTGCAGTAGACTAATAGCTATACCCAAGCTCAAAACTCATTTCATCTTTGCTTTGCCGCACACCATTAGGGTAGAATCAGACAGACAACTTGCACTTACACATAAAACACACTCCTCTCAAGGTCAGCACTGTTTCTTAAGAAAACTACCTTTGTCCAGTCTGGAAAAGGAATCAATGCTCTCTTCTTCCAGGCTGTAACATTTTCAGTGCAAATTTACAGTGGGTAGAGGGTAAATTGAAAGTCCGGGATTACAAATTTCTACTTCCAGAAAGAACAGCACAGATATTTTCCCCTTGGACAGTTTCACCCCTTGTTATTGTCTCATTTGATGCCTAGTGGGAGATGGGCTGGCACTAGGGGGTTTATTTCACCTAGTCTGTCAAACATGTATCACATACCAGTAACTTTTTCTCACAACATCAAAACCTGAGTGAGAGTTGAAGGAGCACTGGGAACAGAAAGAAACAAAATGGCTCCAGCCACATCTTTAGCATATAAACAATTTGAAGATAGCATAGCCTTTTCAGTGAGAAAAACTAAATTCCTCAAGAAGAATTTGTTGTCACAGAGGCAGCATTAAACCAGCTCAAATGAGCTTGTCTGCTTTCAGTTTCAATACACATTATAAGATTTTGGCAT